ATTTCGAAGGATATAGCAAGTAAGCTGCAGCGTTGGAAGTTTCGTCACAGCCACTCTACTAAGAATTCGGGTGTGGATTTCAAGGTCAGGGGAAGGGTGAGCGCTAGAGTTCATCTTGGTCGTATTGGGAAACTCCAGCCTAGAGCCCATCGGTTTAGGGCCCTTCGTTCTGCTGCAGTGGGTGCCAAGCGTATTTTGAAGACTGGAGGTCTACCTGCTGGAATGTACGGTGCGAGAGTGCATGGTGTATCAAGCAAGAGACTTGGTCAGATCAGAGCTGTCATTGCTCGCAGTGCGTTCGGAACCTCGAGGGGCCGTTCGAGAACCTTGGAGTTCCAGTTGTGCGCCGACCCGACCCTGGACCCCACCTTCCAGGCCAACCTCCTCCCCCTCCAGTCCTGGGTGCAGGCCTGGAGAGAGCAGTGGTTGCCCAGAAGCCTCCTCACCAACATCTTCGAGGTTGCCCTTAAGACCCCTGGATTTGACTGGAAACAGGTCCATGGCCCTGGGGGCGCTGTTTTCTGTACCTTAAAGCGTATGGGCTGGTCTGCTCGCCATCCTGTCGTTTGGAAGGACTCCAGAGGCATGTTGTTTGACTTCGGGTATTTGGAAAAGAAGCCCCTCAAGACCCTGGTTCTCTCCGGCACCAAGTTGGCCTTGCAGCAGGGCCACAAAGGTACCAACTTCCATGGGAGTGTCTTGACAGGAGCCCCGCGCCTGGAGCCCATCATAGATGTCCTGAGGCAGTTACGTTCACGAGGCCAGGTGGCGTGTGCAGCTTTCTTGGCAGGCTCCGTGTCGGGCGGCTACCCGACGCAGAGCATCCTTTTCAGAGACCGTCGGGCGACCAGCCCGAATTGCAAGTTCTGCGGCGACCTCGGTACGCCCCAGCACAGGATCGTAGGCTGCCCCGCGACGTGGTGGACTCGCAGGGAGTTGGACGTGCCAGAAGCGATTGCCGATTTCGAAGAAGCTCCGTCTTACGACATCGGTACCGCCAGATGCCTTGTTCCCAGCCTGGCTTTTGAGGCCCCTCCCCCCCGTCAGGATGCTGCTCAGGTTTGGAGTGTTTTACCCCCCAATGGCGTCTTCCGAGGCAACGTGGCGATCGACGGCTCGGCCTTTTCCCCTGGAGATCTCGCGCTGGAGAGAGCGGGCTGGGGGATCGTCCAGGTTGACCGCCATGGGGGTTGGGATGGGGCCTTGTATGGGCCACTGCCCCATCCAGTCCAGCAGTCGGGGTGTGCCGAAGTGTATGCTCTGCTTATGCTCATCCAGAATGTGGGGGTGGAGCCTGTGCACGTCGTTTGTGATTGTAAGATGGTAGTGGACATCTGGGAAGCTGGCAGTGGCCAGAACCTAGATAACATTGCTTATGCTGAGGTCTGGCGCGAGATTTTCCGCAAGTGTGAAGATATCACCGCGCCGATCACTGTTGAGAAAATTCGGAGCCACCAGTCCTGGGCCAAGGCGTCTGCTCAAGGTTGTGCTTGGTGGGCTTGGAGAGGTAACCGCGAAGCAGACCGTCTGGCCAGACTCGGGGCTCAGATGCACCCTGTCCCCCCGCAGCTGCGCACGGAGCTGAAAGCCCTCGATTTCCAGGTTCGGGGCCGCGCTGTGCTGGTCGCGGGAGTCGGGGGAGCGTTATCCAAGCTAAATTTCAATGCTGCCGATAAGTTCCGCGCCAAGCGGTATAAAGCTCCAGATGTTTTAGAACTCGTGTCTGAGCCCAATGGGCACGAGATAGTGCGAGTCGGCAAAAGATCCGCTTGTGTGCGATGTGGAATTCGAGATTGGTCGAGAAATGCGATTACTGCGTTTCCTTGTACTGGACTCCCCAGACCCGCTCGTTTGGCTCACCCCTCCCACAGACTTTGGAGCGGTGATGGTGGCCGAGTGTGGTGCTGTGTCTGTGGGGCGTTCGGCACTAAGAAGGTGGTCCTCCTCGCCAAGGCCTGCAACGGCGGGCCTCGGAATAAGGATGCGTCTCATTCCTTGAGTCTCCTCAAAGGCGGGATTGACCCATCCACAGGTGCGGAATTCGGCCGATCGTTCCCCCTTAAGAGAGAGAGACCCCTCTAAGTGCCGTGCGTGATTTATTACCCCATTTTTGTGCCACGTGTTGCAGCAGCGGGACGTGGTGCGCCAAGGACCCATAGGACCCATAGGACGAGGACGAGGACGAGGACGAGGAGGAGGAGGAGGAGGAGGAGAGGGGGGAGGAGGGGGAGGAGGAGGAGGGGGAGGGGGCGAGTGTGTGCGACGATCTTGGAAGCCTCTCAGGGGCCAATTCGATGGCTCTTGGAGGCATTTGGGGGTGGCCTCTTGGATCTTCTTGGGGGCCTCTTGGCAGCTTCCTGGGACGCCTCGGAGACCTCTTGTGGCCTCTTGTGGGCGCCTCGGGCCGGTGATCTCTTGGGGCCATATTTGGGAGAACGGCTCGACATGTCAGTTCGTATCTTCCCTTTTGGGCTCCCATTAGCGTCTTCTTGGCACTCGTTTGGGCTGTCTGGGGGGGGCCCTGCGGCCGTCTTGGGGCCCTCCGGGCTGTCTTGGGATCCTCTTGGAGGCCTCATGTGCTCTGTTGGAGCGATCTTGGGGGCCCCTTGGGCCGTCGTGGATGCTGCCAAGACGAAAACGGCGAGTATCGAGTTGCCTGCGACCCATCCCACCACCTTGCGTGGGTTGTGGGTCCGAGTTTTCAGGAATGTTTCTTGGGATCTCTTCGGAGCGCTCTCGGGGGCCTTTTGGGGGCAGCTTTGGTAATCTTTTGGGAGCCTCTGAGGGGCCTCTTAGGGGGCCTCTTGGGGGCCTCTTGAGGGGCCTCTTGAGGGGCCTCTTGGGTCCTCCTGTGGGCCTCTTGGTGGCCTCTTGGGGGCCTCTTGGGGCCTCCTGGGGGCCTTTCGGGGCCAAGGGCTAGATATGCCCGCTCGGTTCTCCCATCTGGGCCCACTCTGAAGGCCGTCATTTGAGCATCTTGGGCCCTCTTGGGCCTTCAGGAGCCCTCCTGTGCCGTTTTGGAGCTCTCTTGGGGACCTCTTGGGCCGTCTTGGGCCGTCTTGGGTCGATCTTTGGGGCCTCTAGGGCCGTCTGGGAGCGTCGGGAAGCCGAAAAGGCGAGAACTCCAACACATTGAAAAAGAGTAGGGAAATCACTGATGTTGGCCTCTTGGGGCCCTCTTGGGAGGCCTCTTGGAGGCCTCGTCGGGCGTCTTGGAGGCCTCTTCGGCCATCTGGGGGCCATCTTGAGCGTCTTGGAGCGATCATTCGAGTTCCCCGTGTATGAGTTCCCCGTCCCCCCCCCCCCCTTTGGGAACCTCCCCTCTAATGCGATTTTGATGCGAACGCTGCCACTGGGGCCTTCGGTGGAGCTCCCTATGGGGCCACGATCCTCGTGAGGGGTGTGCCGAAATGGGGCGGGGCCGCCATGCGAACGCTGCCACTGGGGCCTTCGGTGGAGCTCCCCATGGGGCCACGAAACGTTGTACTGGGTGGGTGAAACGCAGGGAGGAGGAGGGAGGAGGGAGAGTAGGAGAGGAGAGGAGCTCCAGGGGAGAGGGAAAGGCAGTTGTCTCCCACGGCGTTTCGCCCCCAGCAGGCGGAGGTCGGCGGATCCTCCCATGGCTCCGTGCCTTATCCTCCTCCCCTTCGAAAGTCTATCAGGAGGGGAAGAAACACACACAGACACAATTAATCGTCGACTCCCAGGAAAATATGCAAAAATATGGGAAGTGGGGGGGAAGACGAAAACCAAAACATATATGGAAAAATATGGGGAATCGTTTTATTTGTGTGTATTTATTTGTGTGTCCTGGGGCCCCTTCAGTCTAAGCTTCCCAGATGGGGTCCGAGTAGATGGAGTCGGAGAATCGCGCCGCATCGCCGATGCGTTGGGGAGGTGCGGCTCGATGTGGAGCCTGATGTTCTCCAGGCTAGCGTCGCCAATGCATCGGCGACGCGGCGCGATCCTCCGACACGATCTAGTCGGACCCCATCCGAGAGGCCTCTAGCAGTAAGTCGGGCGTGTCCCTCTACAGGAGGAATGTTCAAAAATAGTCAACAAATAGTCGGGGGACACATTGTTTGAGGATTTTGGTTTGCATGTTTTGAATAGTTTTACGTTTTTTCGTCCAAAATCCGTTTGTAGGAGGACACGCCCAACTTAGCCCCGGCGACCTCCCCGCGGACGCCCGCGTACGGCGAGTTGTTTCCTTGTCCCTCTCCACGCGCACGATTGCCGAGGCCGCCCAAACACGGCCAGAGCTGATGAGGTGTGGTTCGCAGGCCTAGAAGCTGACACCAACACCAGGATCGGCGGTGTACCTCCACCGAGGGAACAAGATCCCGATCTCGGCGACGGTGGTAATATTCTGGCTTCCGAGGTGGCCGAAACATGACCACCAACGCCGAAATCTAGGATTATCTCCCCTCTGTGGGGGCAACCCCCTGCGTTGGTGTCGGTGCCCACTTCCAGGCCGCCAAGGGGTGGCCGCGCCGCATCGCCGATCGATCGGCGCCGCGGCACGATCGGGAGCCCAAGCACCGACCCCATCCTACGCCCTGTCCGAGCTGGGCGGCCTCCAGTCTGTCAAGCTTCCAATGCACGATGGGCCGCTCCCGATGTACACTCTATGTAGGCGATGCTTAAGAAAACCCAAGTTTTCGGCCAGAGTCTCGAGTATTCTTAATGCTTCAATGTAAATCCCAAGATTTGAATAGACATTCTGGGTTTTTATTCAAATTCTGAGACTATGAATTTCTTAACCCATGATTTCTTAAGCATTTTGCAGGGTGTACAGTCGGGGCCCTGAAGAAGGAACCCTTTTGGTTGGGGAGGGGCTCCGCGTTCCTTACGTGTTTCACAGCTTGCCTCAGGCTTTCCTTGTGCTTTCGATGGGACATCGAAGTTTCACTGATGGAAAAAAGGGGCCTCGTTCCTTATTTAGGGTCCCTTAGGTCAACGCCCCTACTGTGCAGCGCCGCCCGCCCACCCCGCGCGAGGTACAACAGTCTCATCGACGGCTGCGCCAAGGCTGGCAAGGCACCCCGGGTTATGGCTGCCCCTGCCTCGCACAGAGGGGGCGGGGGGAGGAGGAGGAGGGAGCGGCGTGGGAGAGGCGAGGGGAGGGGAGGAAGGGGAGGGAGAAGGGGAGGAGGAGGAGGAGGGGAGGAGGAGGAGGAGGAGGGGAAGGGGAGGGAGGGGAGGGGAGGAAGGGGAAGGAGAGGGGAGGAGGAGGGGAGGAAGGGGAGGGAGCGGGGATGGCGCGTGCCATAGCAGCAACGCCATGCAGATCTTCTAAGGTGCGCCCAGGATTCTCGAATGGGCGCTAGCACCCATTCCCTGGCGCGCGCGCCGGGGGCCACGCCGGAGGCGCCGATCTAATAGTTGTTCTTTAGGTAACGTGCTGTTCCTCCAATGAGGGAGGGGGGGAAGCAAGCTAGGTGCGATCGCGCCATAGATGATTTTCCAGCCCTCCCACCCATCCCTGCTCGTTGCGATGAGTCGTTTCATATCCGCCGACTGGGGTGGCCTAGAGGACAGTGGCTGCGAAGGCCTTACGGCCGGTGCCGCCGACCCTGAAGGAGGACGACGACGACGACGACGACGACGACGCTGATGTGAGTCAGAGTCCTCAGGCATGCTTCTTGGGGCCTCTGCGGAGCGCTCTCGGGGGCCTCTGGGGGGCAGTGTTGGAGCCTCTTGGGAGCCACTTGGGGGCCTCTCGGAAGCCTCTTGGGGGCCTCTTGGTTTCTTGGGGCGGTCGTAGGGGCCTCTTGTGGGCTCTTTTGAGGGATCTTGGGGGCCTCTTGGGCCGTCTTGGAGCGTCGGGAAGCCGAAAAGGCGAGAGCGCCCAAATCTGTCAACAACCAGAAAGGAAGCTCAATTAATTCTGCCTCGTGGGGCCCTCGTGGGAGTGCTCATGGAGGCATTTAGGGGCGTCTTGGAGGCCACCTGAGCTGGCTGGAGACTATCTTGGGCGTCTTGTGCCGATCGTTCGGCGATTCGGGGCCCTCTTGGACCGTCTTGTGGGTCTCTAGGGTCACTCTTACCCAGTCGTGGGAATGTTTGGGGCTCCGGAACCTACCGCGGCGCTGGTATTCTGAACCAGCCCACCCCCAGCAGGGAAGGGATCAATGGGAAGGGCTTCTTCTCGATTGAACTACGATGTTCTTCAATGTGTTTCTTCCTTAACCTCTTCGGGACTGACGACGACGACCCTTCAAACGGAAAAGCGTCTCACATACGCCGAAGGGTCGGCAGAGATGACACCTACTCCTTCGTGCTCATCCTGCTGTTCCTCGTGCTCATCATCCTGGTTGACTGCCTCCTCCTCCTCCTCCTCCTCACGACGCCCCCTGTCTTACTGCGCATCACGCGGACCGGCTGACGTTTTGATCGAAACAGCACAGGAGCAGCGCTAACGTGTGCCATTTTTGTATGTGTACATATATACAACAAATGTATAATGTGTTTATATGGTCACACATATGCACACGTGTATGATCATACACAGATCTATACACATGCGCGTATACAAATATACACCTATATATATATATATATATATATATATATGTATAAATATGTGTGCATGTATGTGTATATTCCTCTTCCTATATCTTTATAAGCCTGGGCGGGGGGAAAACCCGTCCCCTCCCCACCCAAAACCAGACTCCCGGGATCTGGAGCTTTGGGACCCTCCAGACGCGGGCCTCGAAGCGGCCACCGGGCCTCACATGGCGTCGTTTTGCCAAGCCTTCCCAGCACACCTAGGGCGATCAGGGGGGTCATCGGAGACGTCCCAGAGACCCCCAAGACAGAGCAAGAGCGCTCCAAGAGTGACCGACGTGACCTCAAGATGGCCCAAGAGGTCTCCAGGACGGCCCCAAAGAGGCCTCCAAGAGCACTCCCAAGAAGGCCCCCCGACGCACAAATCATTGATTTTCTGATAGTTTTTGGTGAATTTTAGGGTTCTCCTCTTTTCGGTTCCCGACGCTCCAAGACGGCGGTCTTCTGGGCGTCCGAAGACGCCTGGGAGGCTCCCAAATCGCCCCACAACCATCCGAAAGGGCTTCCAGGCAGTCCAAGAGAGCCCCATAACGGCACAACACGGGTCCAAGATGGCCCTCAGAGAGCCCCATGGCGGCCCAAGATGGCCCAAAGATACCCTCCGAAGAATTCCAAGTCGTGATTCGGTCGTTCAGGGAGACAGCGGTTGGAGGCAGGGTGGCCCGAGAAAGCCCTCGGAGGCCCCCCAGAATACGCCAAGGAGGTCTCCAGAAGGCCTCAAGAAAGCCTGAAACAACTTTTGTGAAGCCCCTAGAGGCTCTCCAAGGAGGAGCCTCCGCAAAAACAAGCTGAGGAGGATGGGGAGAATACGCAGGGCATGGCGAAAACAATGAGAAAGAAGCATGGAGGCAGGATAACGAATAACATTATTGTAGCAATTGTACAAATGGAGAGTAGCAGGGGATGGGGTAGAAGGAGAGGGAGAGGTCTCGCGGAGGGAACGGGAATGATGATGGAGAGAGAGAGAGAGAGAAGACGGGGAGGAGTGGGGAGGGGGGGGGGCAGATCGAGCGAGTGGAGGTTGGAGAGGGGGTGGGTCGAGGGATGGGAGAGGGGAGGTCCTCCCTTCCCTTCCCCCCCGGTCCTGTCCTTTCCCCACCCACACCTCCGTCGTCATCCCCGTCGTCCTCCCCTCGTCCCCGCCGTTGTTTCTCTCCTCCTTCGTCCTCCCCTCCTCCCTTCTTCTCCAATTCCTCCTCCTCCCCTCTCCCTCGTCCTCCTCCCCTCTCCCTCGTCCCCCCTCCTCCCCTTCTCCCTTCCCTCGCCCTCCTCCCCTCTCCCTTAAACGCCTCCCTATCGCACCACTGGATGTGTCGTTTGGGCGGGTCGGGAGTTTCGCCTGTGACACCCTTACCGCGCACGACCTTGAACCTTGAAATGTACAATAGTTCTACGGAAGGAGGGCCGATCGGTTTCAACATTAGGGCATCGCACACGTGCTGTTATACTTGACAGCAGTTGCGCGGATGGATGGCGGGGCGTTTGCGAAATGAGATCATCGTTTCGGCGTTGCACACTCGCGCCTTCAACATGTCCGACCATTACGCGGAGGGAGGGCGGTCGTGTTTCGCAGGTTTCTTGCTTTGGCGCCGCGCATTCTCGTTGTAAAAGCATCACGCCACCACAAGTGTTCATCGGTGCAACAGTTTCACGGAAGCAGGCGGCTCTTTTGCGTGATGGGGTTCCCATTGAAGATTTTGTTACATGTGTGAAGGTGAGTTGCGCAACAGTTGCACATACAGAGGAAGCCCACGCCAAGAAACACCTTGCTTGCCTCCAAGGTGCCCTGGGTTTCTTGGGCTTCGATGTTCTACGGTGGGAAACGTGACGTCCCCATACAAAAAACAATGGGCATCCTGGGGTCAGGGTCGGGGTTCCTTGTGGGAGGTCTCTCGTGGTCGAGCTCCTGCTGTATGGAAGGCGCTTTCTCTTCAAAGTGACGCTGTCGCTGGGCCAATGCATGACCTGTAAGACCCTGCCCTGCCGCAGCCTCCTGTTGCCCGAAGGATGGAGAGCAGCTTCCCAGTTCGTGGGGCCCCCCCCCCTCCTCCTCCTCCTCCTCCTCCTCCTCCTCCTCCTCCTCCTCCTCCTCCTTCCTCCTCCTCCCTCCTCCTCCTCCTCCTCCTCCTCCTCCTCCTCCTCCTCCTCCTCCTCCTGGGGGGGAAGGGAGGAGGAGGAGGCCTTCTCAGAAGGCTCGGAGGCCCCCCCTGGCCTTCTGCGAGGTGTTCTGAGCTTCCCCCGAAGACCTAAAACTCGCAGAAGGTCGGAGGGCTTCTGCTGAGAAAAGTCCCGCCGCCTTCCAAGAAGGCCTTCTCCCTCTCATCTCCGCCCCTGGCTCGCCGCAACGACTGACAAGGGGGCTTCGGGGGGGACGGGAGGGTGAATCGCAGCATCGCTGATCATGCTTTGGTCTGCTCCAGTGTCTCGTCCCCGTGGTCCTCCCCTCCGCTTCCCTCCCTTCTTCGGCCCACCGTCTTCGTCGTCGGCCTCGTCCTGGCTCGCCCTCCCCCTCGTCCTGACCCGGCCCTGCACGGCTTTCCCTGCGCGCAGTTGGAAGAGGGACTCTCCGTCTTCAGCGACATGCTCCAGCGCGCCGCTCAGCGCACGATCGCGGATCTTGTCTTGCCCGCTTTCTCTTTCGCTTCGAGACGACGACGGCGAGGAGGGGGTGAGGAGAAGTTTCCCGCGACGACGAATAGAGAGAGAGAGAGAGAGAAACGACACGGGGGAGGAGGAGGAGGAGGAGGAGGAGCAGGAGGAGGAGGAGGAGGAGGAGGAGGAGAATGAGGAGGAGAAAGAGGAGTATCGAAGTACCAGATCTGAGCAGTCTCAGATTGGTCAAAGGTCGCCACCCGTTGAGTTCGATGGAGATCACGAGCACGAGGCCGAGCACTGAGACCTTCCCGAAGCAGTAGCGCGGCTTGCCCCCGCGCCCCACGACGCCCAGGCAGCGTACACCACGGGCCGCAGAGCGCGCGAAGGAGACAGCAGCGTGACCACAGCCTGTCGAGGTAGGCCGCCGCACCGGCGAATAAGCATTGTGCCTTTTTGCCCAACGTTGCAGGACAGCACGCGCCGCCTTTCAAACACGCGCAGCGCAGCGAACACCCATAGCAGTACACCCGTCGCGATCGACGCCAGCGGGTGACAAGAAAGACCACATAGCATTGGCCTCACATATGGGTAAGAATGGGCACTGCGGCAGAGGTACGTGCGAAGTGCCAGGACATCGAATGAATGACCAGACAGGCAGAGCAAAACGGAATCGAATTATGCCGCCTCCGCAGCCTTTCTCCACTAGCGTTGGCCGCACAACTGTGCAGAGTCAACGTGGCCGTGAGCAGCAGGAGCACGTGTGGAATAGGCCCCTTTGGGGGTATCAAACACCTAAACCTAAACCTAAACCTCCAACGCGAGGGCCTAAACCTCCAACGCGAGGCCCCTTTGGGGTATCTAAAATCTATGCCTAAACAAAAGCCTAAGCCTAAACCTAAATCAAGAGCGCCATCAAAGCCTACACCTCCACCAGGAGAATGACGGACAGCGACGAGCGAACGCCACGCCCACACCCACACCCACGGGGGGGTCGGAGGGCACAGGGCTGGCTGTGGGTGTGGGCTGTCGGACCCTGGGGGAGGAGCCCCCGCTCAGGCAGGGACCCCTGTCCCACAGCACGCACGCACAGCCCCCGCCGTCGCCCCTACTGGCATGGGTGTGTGTGTGTGTGTTGTTGTGCTCGGCATGGGTGGCATGTTGTTGTGCTGCCCCCCCCCTCCGGCCGCCTGAGGCCCCCGCCCTCCTGTGCCCTGTCTCCCCAATTAAAGCTGTGTGTAGCCCGCCTAGCCTTTAGCGGAAGAGGTTCGCTCTCGCCCCGCCGACCAAAAAGTGTGTTGTTGTGCTCGTCAGGCAGACCCAGTCGTGGGACTGGCCCCCCCAAGCGCTGCGCGGACGCACGGGAGCGCGACCCGAGCACTGGAGAACGATCCGAGGCTCGTTCACCGGAAGCCAAGACGCCTGCAAGGATCGAGCCGAGTCGAGTGCGCCGTCCCTCCTGCCGTGTCCCCCATCGCCGTTTTGTTCTTGCCACCACCACCGTCCTCCCTCCCTCACCGACGTCCGAGAACCAGGGCGGCGCTTCGTTTGTCTGGTCGAGCCTGCTTGCCTTCCCTCCTGAATCCTGTCCCTCATTATCAGAACCATGCTCGCCCTTCTCCTCTTGCTCATCATCGCCATCTTTATCACTGTTCCCCTCTTCTCCCGACTTCTATTCATCGCACTCGTCCTCGCAATCCTCGTCATCCTCCGCGCTCATCGTCCACATCCTTATCCTAAACCAGTCACGTTATGTTGTTGAGTTCTGGGCACACTAAACGGTTTTTAGTTGCGAAAGTATTGGAGGCGTGTGTTGCATTTCCCATGCGGCATGAGTTGTGTCGCGCTCGTTTTACATATCGAAGACGCCTACGGCGAATCACCGCCGCCCCCTGCCTTTTTGTCTTGCCCATGTGGCTGAGTGTTGTGGCAAGAGCTCTGCCAAGATATCGGGCCATGTGCTCCCCTAGCCGTTGTAAAATCCCTTCGGGGAACTTTTGGGGGAGGATGGCGGGGAAGATCAGAAGGAGGAGGAGGAGGAGGAGGAGGAGGAGGAGGAGGCGAAGGAGGAGGAAAAGACCTCTTGGGAGCCTCTTGGGGCACCCTCGGGACCTCCCGGGAACTTCTCGGGAACCTCTTGGATGCCTCTTGGGGGCCTCCTTGGCCCTCTTTTGTGCGCCTTTGGGGGCTCCTTAGGACCCTCTTTGGCCATCTTTGGGTGCTCCTGGCCCCTCGGACGCCGTCGGAAGCCGTCTTGCGGCCGTCCTGGGGGGGGCCTCAGGGCCGACCTCAGGGCCGCCCTGGAGGCCATCGTGGGCCTCGTGGAGGCCCCTTGGGGCCGTCTTGGAAGCCGCTTGGGCCCTCCCAGAGGCCATCTCGGAAGCCGCTTGGGGGCTCCGGGGGGCGATCCTTGCGGGGCCATGATTTTCGGCTCTGCGGGGCTCCCCTGGAGGACCGCTCGGGGGCCTCTTGCGACCGTCTCGGAGGCCTCGTGGACGCGTCTGGGGGCAGGCTTGGGCCGTCTCGGAGGCTTCGTGGGCGGACTCGGAGCCATCTGGGACTCCTCTCGGGCCGTCTTGGATACCATCTTGGGCGACCTTGCGGGCCATCTTTGGCCGTCGTGGAGGCCATGTAGGCCATACTAGAGCCGTCTGGAGCAGGAATGACCTTTGCAACCGGGTCTTCCGCAGGGCCGGCGGGGCGGGCCGAAGCCCCAGGGTAGAGTTCTGTTGGAAAAAGAGCAAATTGTCTTGGCGAAGGGCCCAACCATATGCAGCTGTGGGTACCGCAATTGTGAAAATCTTCTTCAAGAAACTCCTTATGGGGCCACGAAGCGCTGCACTGGGTGGGGGGGAACGCTGTTCTGGGTGAGTGGTGTGTCAAGTAATTAAGGTTTCCGGGACGCATGCGGACGGTCCCACTGGGTGCTTCGGTGGAGCTCCCTATGGGGCCACGAAACGCTGTACTGGGCAAGTGAAAATGCCAAATTGGGCTTCCCGGACGCATGCGGACGGTCCCACTGGAGGCTTCGGTGGGGCTCCCTATGGGGCTACGAAACGCTGTACTAGGGTGGGTGAAAATGCCAAATTGGGCTTCCGGGACGCACTCGGACGGTCCCACTGGGGGCTTCGGTGGATCTCACTAAGGGGCCACAAAACGATTTATTGGGTGAGTCAAATTGCCACGTTGGGGGTTCGGGACGCATGCGGACGGCGGCACTGGGGCCTTCGGTGGAGTTCCTACGGGGCCACGAAATTCTGGACTGGGTGGGTGCAAATGCCACAATGGGTGTTTCGGGACGCTTGCGGACGGTCCCACTGGGGCCTTCGGTGGAGCTTTCTGTGGAGCCACAAAACGCTGCATTGTGTGGGTGAAAATGCCGCGTTGGGTGTGCGGGACGCATGCGGACGGTGGCACTGGGGCCTTCGGTGGAGCTCCCTGCGGGGCCACGAAACGTTGTAATGGGTATGTGAAAATGCCAAATTGGGTGTTTCAGGACGCGCTCGGACGGTGGCACTGGGGCCTTCGGTGGAGCTCCCTATGGGGCCACGAAACGTTGTTCTGAGTGGGGGGGACGCATGTGGATGGTAGCATTGTGACCTTCGGTGGGGCCCCCTATGGGGCCACGAAACGCTGTGCTGAGTGGGGGGGGCGCATGTGGACGGTGGCACTGGGGCCTTCGATGGAGCTCCACGAAACGCTGTACTGAGTGGTGAGGGGGGGGGCGCATGTGGGGCACTGGGGCCTTCGGTGGAGCTCCCTGCGGGGCCACGAAACGTTGTAATGGGTATGTGAAAATGCCAAATTGGGTGTTTCAGGACGCGCTCGGACGGTGGCACTGGGGCCTTCGGTGGAGCTCCCTATGGGGCCACGAAACGTGTTCTGAGTGGGGGGACGCATGTGGATGGTAGCATGTGACCTTCGGTGGGGCCCCCTATGGGGCCACGAAACGCTCTGCTGAGTGGGGGGGGCGCATGTGGACGGTGGCACTGGGGCCTTCGATGGAGCTCCACGAAACGCTGTACTGAGTGGGGGGGACGCATGTGGACGGTGGCACTGGGGCCTTCGGCTATGTGTACTGACGCATGTGGACGGAGGCACTGGGGCCTTCGGTGGAGCTCCCTGCGGGGCCACGAAACGTTGTAATGGGTATGTGAAAATGCCAAATTGGGTGTTTCAGGACGCGCTCGGACGGTGGCACTGGGGCCTTCGGTGGAGCTCCCTATGGGGCCACGAAACGTTGTTCTGAGTGGGGGGACGCATGTGGATGGTAGCATTGTGACCTTCGGTGGGGCCCCCTATGGGGCCACGAAACGCTCTGCTGAGTGGGGGGGGCGCATGTGGACGGTGGCACTGGGGCCTTCGATGGAGCTCCACGAAACGCTGTACTGAGTGGGGGGGACGCATGTGGACGGTGGCACTGGGGCCTTCGGTGGAGCTCCCTATGGAGCCACGAAGCGCTGTACTGAGTGGGGGGGGCGCATGTGGACGGAGGCACTGGGGCCTGGGCGCCGTGACCTTCGGTGGCTGGGGCCACGAAGCGTTGGTGGGGGGGACGCATGTGGACGGTGGCACTGGGGCCTTCGGTGGAGCTCCCTATGGGGCCACGAAGCGCTGTACTGAGTGGGGGGGACGCATGTGGACGGTGGCACTGGGGCCTTCGGTGGAGCTCCCTATGGGGCCACGAAACGCTGTACTGAGTGGGGGGGACGCATGTGGACGGTGGCAGCTGGGCCACGCCTGTGGACGGTGGCACTGGGGCCTTCGGTGGAGCTCCCTATGGGGCCACGAAGCGCTGTACTGAGTGGGGGGGACGCATGTGGACGGTGGCACTGGGGCCTTCGGTGGAGCTCCCTATGGGGCCACGAAGCGCTGTACTGAGTGGGGGGGACGCATGTGGACGGTGGCACTGGGGCCTTCGGTGGAGCTCCCTATGGGCCACGAAGCGCTGTACTGAGTGGGGGGGACGCATGTGGACGGTGGCACTGGGGCCTTCGGTGGAGCTCCCTATGGGGCCACGAAGCGCTGTACTGAGTGGGGGGACGCATGTGGACGGTGGCACTGGGGCCTTCGGTGGAGCTCCCTATGGGGCCACGAAACGCTGTACTGAGTGGGGGGGACGCATGTGGACGGTGGCACTGGGGCCTTCGGTGGAGCTCCCTATGGGGCCACGAAACGCTGTACTGAGTGGGGGGGGCGCATGTGGACGGTGGCACTGGGGCCTTCGGTGGAGCTCCCTATGGGGCCACGAAGCGCTGTACTGAGTGGGGGGGACGCATGTGGACGGTGGCACTGGGGCCTTCGGTGGAGCTCCCTATGGGGCCACGAAGCGCTGTACTGAGTGGGGGGGGCGCATGTGGACGGTGGCACTGGGGCCTTCGGTGGGGCTCCCTATGGGGCCACGAAACGCTGTATTAAGTGGGGGGGACGCATTTGGACGGTGGAATTGGGGAGCTCCCTATGGGGCCACGAAACGCTGTACTGAGTGGGGGGGCGCATGTGGACGGTGGCACTTGTGCCTTCGGTGGAGCTCCCTATGGGGCTACGAAACGCTGTGCTGGGTGGGTGAAACGCAGGGAAGAGGGGAAGGAGGGAGGAGGGAGGAGGGGGAGGAGGAGAGGAGGAGGAGGAAGAGGAGGAGGAGGAGGAGGAGGAGGAGAACGCGGGGACCGTCTCTTCAAAACGAGGACCCAACAACACAGGTTGGTTGGGAAAAACACGAGGATAGGAGTCAGCACGCCAGGCACCTTGTGGCAAGCCAACAAGGGGCGGCGGATCGAAGACGCCTACGGCGAATCACCGCCGCCCCCTGCCTTTGTGGAAGCGCCTATGTGGCCGAATGTTGAGGCCAGACCTGCCAAGCTATCGGACCATGTGTTCCCCGAATCGGTTTGGAAAACCTTCGGGGAACACGTGGGCATCTTGAAGGTCATCTTGGCCGCCTGGAGGCCATTTTGACTCTTTCGGGCCTTTTGGGGGGACGTCTTGGAGGGCTCGTGGGCCGTCTTGGAGGCCATCTTGAGCGTCTTGGAGGCCTCTTGGGTCGTCTTGGGGGCCTCTTGGGGCCGTCTTGGGCTCCTCTTGGGCCGTTCTGGGGCCATCTTGGAGGCCTCTTGGGCGATCCTTGGGCGATCTTTGGGAGCTCTTGGGCCGTATCGGGCCGTCGGAAGGCCGAAACGAAGTAAATGTCAAAATCCTTCAGGAACCTCCGGGAAATAATTCTTTTCGGCCTTTTCTGGCCTTCCTGGAGGCCCTCTTGGAGGCCTCTTGGGCCGTCTTCGGCCAGCTGCGAGCCACCTTCGGCCATCTTGGTGGGCTCCTGGCCCGTCTGACGCCGTCGGAAGCCGTTGCGGGGGCCTTTCTGGGCCGACTTGGGGCCCTGTTGGGGTGCTCTTAGAGGCCATCTTGGGCGTCTTCGAAGCCTCTTGGGCCGTCTTGGCGCCCTCTTGGGGCAGTCTTAGGGGTCTCTTGGGCCGTCATGGGGCCATCTTGGAGGCCTCTTGGGCGATCTCGGAGCGACCTTGGCGGCCTCTGGGGCCGTCACGGGCCGTCGGAAAGCCGAAAAGGCGCAAATGCCAAAATCCTTCAAAAACCCAAGAAAATCAATAATGTTGGCCTCGGCGGGCCTTCCCGGAGGAACTCTTGGAGGCCTCTTGGGCCGTCTTGGAGGCCTCTTGCGGGCCTTTTGGGCCGTCTTAGACCATATTGGGGCCATCTTGGGCCGTCTTGGATGCATCTTGGGGCCATCTCAGCCGTCTTGGAGGCCATCTTGGCTGTCTTGGAGGCATATTGCAGGCCATCTTGGGCCATCTGCGCGATTGTTTGAGGATGTCCCGAGCGAAACGGCCATTTTTGGCGATGGCAACCACCTGTTCCGGGTGGCCGGCGGGACGGGCCGAAGCCCCAGGGGGAGTTATTTTGGAAAAGAACCAAAACCAAAACCGAGAGGGTCCAGCACGCCAGGCACCTCTGCGATGAATCGACAGGGGGCGGCGGATCGGATGGCCTTCGGCCCATCCCGCCACCGTGCTTGGTTTGTGGGTCATTATGGAGCATATTCGATGGTCGCTGGGATCTCGTGGAAGGCCTCTTGGGGAGCGTCTTGGAGGCAGTTTGAAGGCCTCTTGGAGGCCGCTTGTGGGCCTCATGGGGCCTCTTTTGGCCCTTTTGGGTGCCTCTTGGGGCCTCTTGGGGGCCTTTTGGGGGGGCCTCTTGGGGCCTCCTGGGCGCCTCTCGGTGCATCCTGGGGGCCTCGTGGGGTGGAAGGCTCGGACTTGCGGTGCGCGTGCTGGCGCTGCGCCCGGGTCTTCGCCGCCCCCGCCTCGGCCTCCGTCGGCCAGAGCTGCTCCGGGGGCGACCGCGTCTGGGCCGCCGTGGGCTGCTCCACCGCCTGCGTGATCGCCTGAGCCGAGACCGCAGCCGCAGAGGTTCCCCCTGAGCTTCAGTCGGGCCTGTCCCCTTACGGGGGGATGTTCGACGAAAGATTAAAAATAATACCCCAAAAATATCCCGAAAAGGTAAAGAAATACTCAAAAAATAGTCCCCGGACTATTTTGGGATTCTTTTTGGATTATTGTTGGGGTATTCTTAAGATTTTTTCGTCGAAAATCCCCCCGTAGGGGGGACAGGCCCGACTTTAACCTGAGCGACGTGATCGAGCTAGGTGAACAGCTTCGTGCGCGCCCGCCAGGGTCGCAGGTGCCAGAGCAGCCGCCGGCGCAGCGTGTGTCCCGCCATCTGTCTCGCGATCCCCGCCTTATCCTTGGCATCGCTCGGACGTGTGCATTCTTCTTTCGGCGAGGGCCATCGAGGAGCATCCTTGATCATTTGGCGAAAAAAACACGCACGAACCCCCCCCCAAAAAAAACAGGGAATGGACGTCCAAGCGATGGCGAGTATCGGCCCCTCGTCTTTCCGCTTCCTCCGGCTCGAACAGGTCCTGGGATTGGAAGCATACGCGGCAGGCCTTTCCAAGTACGAGCGGAAGAAGGAGGAGGAGGAGGACGAGGACGAGTAACGGGGGGGTATGGCACGAGGAGAAACAGGAGAAGGCGAAGGAGAAACAGGAGGAGGAGGAGGAGGAAGAGGAGAAACAGGAGGAGGAGGAGGAGGAGGACGACGACGAGAAGGAGAAAGAGGAGGAGGAGGAGGACGAGGAGGAGAAACAGGAGGAGAAACAGGAAGAGGAGGTGGAGGACGAGGACGGCGCGAAGTGCGCTGTTCCTGCCCCGGCACCGATCCTTACCAGCCACCCTCTGGACCCCGACTTGTCTTTCTACGCCTCTCTCGGGCCCCGCCAGGACGGGGGCAGGCACCGATCCTGGGCACAGACGTGGGAGCACGTGATCGGATCGTTTGGATTCGGACGACTGGGGAACGCCACAACAAAAAAGCAAAATGTCAAAACAAGGGGTCAGCCAGAGCGCCAGATCCTGCAGCATCCTGCAGAGTCAGGGGTGCACTGACCCTTGTCTGGGCGCAGGATCCTGCAGGATCCTGCAGCATCTTGCAAGGCCTGGCTGACCCGGGTCTGGATCGACCCGGGTCAGAGGTTCCCGCAAAAGTGCTTGGATTCGGCGCAGTCTTGCCACCCTCCTCCTGGAGAAGGCGAGAGGGACCGCTCAACAGGTCGCGCGTCCCCCCCCCCTGGCGCCCTGAGCCTGTGAGGACACTTTTTGGAGGCATTACGTTGCCAGATAAGGCAAGGCGCCTGAGCTTGTGAGGACACTTGTTGGAGGCATTGCGTTGCCCCCCCCCCAAAAAAGGTCGCGCGTCCCCCCCTCCAACATCACGTTCTCGATCCTGGTGAAGCTGCGCTTCGAGGCGCCTCGGCGCGGGCCCCTGCTCCCCCTCCTCTTGGAGGAGGAGGGTGCCCTGTGGCGCCCCTCCTTCGGCGGTGAGCGAGGGGGGGGAAGTGAGCAGGAGAAGGCCTTCTCTCAGGAGGGAAACAAACACAGACACAATGCATCGTCGATCCCCCAGAAAATATGGGATAATATGGGAAGTGGGGGGGAAGATGGACACCCGGAAAATATGTGAAAATATATGGGAATCTTGTTAGTTCTGTGTATTTCTGTGTGTGTGTGTGTGTGTCCCAGGGCCCCTTCATTCTCAGAAGGCGGCGGGACTTCTCGGAGGTCTTCGCGCCTTCGGAGAAGCTGTGTGCGTCTTCGGGGAAGGCGCAGGCAACCTTCCGGAAGGGCGGGGGACTTCCAAGCCTTCCGAGAAGGCCCACCCCCTCTCGCTGCCCCTGCAGCGCCCCCCATGGGGGTAGATCGGGGGTGGACAGACCTCCTACCCTGACACGTCGATTAGTGACTCGTCCGTTTTCGGTTCTCGAGAGGGCGCCGCGGCCGTTATTTTCCAGGCTTGCGCCCGCCAGGTTTGGGCCCGAGGTCGTTTTCACTAAACCACGTTTTACTAAAGGGAGGTCTGTCCATCCCCAAGTAGAGGCCAGTCTGAGCAAACCTGCGCTTTGCAGTGGCGTGCTCCGCTCCTCGGTCTCCCCTCGACGTGTTCCCCTTCCTTCACGACCAGCCGCCAGCTGGGCACCGGGCGAAGCCCTGGCGGACTCGCCCAGCGCACATGGCGCCCACGAGGCGCCCATGACCGGCGGACATGGCGCACATGGCGCCCACGAGGTGCACATGGCGCACATGGCGCCCACGACCAGCCACCAATCGGGCACCAGGCGAAACCCTGGCGAACCCATCATAGTGTTTGTGAAGATGTGGAAGAGACCGTGAGCACAAGCACAGCGTATCCAGGCACTGTTTGGGGACATCGGTTGTGCTTGTGTTTGTCGTCTGGGGTCAGGGCGGTGCAATGTCTTGTTCGTCTGCAGGAGACCCTTCCCCCCTCGGTAATGCGGAGTGCTGGCGGAGTAATGGTGGTTCGGTTGGTTGGCGGGTTGTATGGTTGGGGGGGTGTCAGTTCATTGATTGGTGGGGTGGTGGGATGGGTTGGGCTGGACTGGTTGGTTTGCTGTTTTAGTTGGTTGGGCTGACTTGTTGGGTTGTCTAGGGCAATGTGTTTCGGCCATTGGCTTTCGGAAATGTCTGGTTGTTGACTGGTGGACTTCGTACGTGTCCAGAGATTGTCAATTGACTTCAGAGATTTCCGAAAGTTTTCGGATCAGGAGGGAGAGGAGGGGAAACACTGGGAGGGAGGGGGCATGGGGGGAGGAGAGAGGAGACGGAGAAGGAAGCATGAGGAAGTCCGAGGGACGATGAGGAGGGAGGAGCAGGAGGAGGGGGAAGGACGTGGACAAGGAGTATGGAGATGACCAGGGTGAGATGGAGCACATGGAGCATGGGCCGTCTGCAGGAAGGACAGGACGGATGAGGAACACGAGGCGGGCAAGCCGGAGCTCCCCATCTGCCCCCCCCCTGGCGGAGCTGGAATTATGGTGTGTCGGAGGTGGATAGACCTCCTACCCGGACACGTCGATTAAGGAATCGGCCGTTGTCGGTTCGCGAGAGGGCGTCGCGGCCGTCACTGTTGCGGGTCCGGGTCCGTCGGTTTCGGTCCCAGGCCGTTTTCATTAAAGGGAGGTTTATTAACGGGAGGTTTGTCCACCGCCGAGTGTGCGTTTTCCCCGTGCCATCCCCCCCTTCACCGCCTCCGCCTCCGCCCCCTCTCCACCTCTGCCGCCACATGTTCCTTCTCCGCCCCTCTCCTGCTCCTCCTCTCGTGCTCGACCCTGCTCCGCCACCTCCTCCTGTCACCACCCACCAAGCCACCCCAACCCAACCCGAAGGCCTCAATTTGTCCTGCATTTCCAGTTGAGGGGGGTCGGGGGACATTGAAAAACACACACACACGAAGCCCGTACCCCTCCCAACCCAAAATTCGGGTCTTCGGGTTGGGTTGGGGTGGTCTGGTAGGTAGTCATCCTGCTCATTGTCATCCTCGCCCTTCCTCTCCCTACCGTTATCCCTCCTCACACGTGTTGTGTTGTTGCCTCTCACTCCCTCTCTTGGTCTTTCTTACGATGTGTATATATACATATATATATATATATATATATATATAAGCATATATATAGATCTGTATACACATCTCCCCTGTCACATGTGCCGCCCAACATCGCGCCCCCCCGGCAGGAGGTAGCTAGAGGAAGGGTGTTCAGTCCCCCCCCCTGATCCCCCCGTCTCCCCGTGAGCCCTCCACCTCTGGCATGCCAGCGGGCCACTCCACTCTGACGGGTCCTCGCCCGCCCACGGAGCTGAGAAGACGGAGGGTGCTCATTCTCCCACCTCCCCTCCCAGTACGGGCAGCCCGGATTAGTAGGTGGACCCTGCCAGATCAAGGGTGCCCTCGCGCCCTGTGTATTGCGACCCATGCCTCCTGCATTTCTGTGGCAACGTGGCCCTCGGAAGGGTCTTGTGTCCTCTCGCGTGTCCTCTCCAATTAGGTCCGACTGCATCACCCCTGTCCTCCCGGCTGCCCTGACCCGGTCCCAGTCTGGACCCAGGAACCAGAGCCTAGAAGAAGGGTGTTCGACCCCCGCTGCCGTCCCAGCCTGCCCTCCCGTGCCGCGCTCCCGCTGCACCGCTGCTGCGCGCAGGAGCCTCCTCCTCCTCCTCCTCCTCCTCCTCCTCCTCCTCCTCCTCCTCCTCCTCCTCCTCCCCCTCCTCCTCCTCCTCCCTCCTCCTCCCCTCCTCCCCCTCCCCCTCCCCCTCCCCCTCCCCCTCCCCAAGAGAGGCGGCTCTCGCCCGCGCTCTCCCCACCTCCCCTCCTCCCGCTCCCCCCGTGGCACGGCCTCCCCCCGCCGTGTGCGCTGCCCCCCTGTTGCGTTCCCTGTGGTGCGTGCCCTCGTTGCCTCCCCCACCTGCAGGAGCTCACCAGAGGCGCCGGCTGTCCCCCTATGGGGCTACGAAACGCTGTGCTGGGTGGGTGAAACGCAGGGAAGAGGGGAAGGAGGGAGGAGGGAGGAGGGGGAGGAGGAGAGGAGGAGGAGGAAGAGGAGGAGGAGGAGGAGGAGGAGGAGTGGGAGGAGGAGGAGGAGGAGGAGGAGGAGGAGAGGAGGAGGAGGAGGAGGAGGAGGAGGAGGAGGGAGGAGGAGGAGGAGGAGGAGGAGGAGAGGAGGAGGAGGAGGAGGAGGAGGAGGAGGAGGAGGAGGAGGAGAGGAGGAGGAGGAGGAGGAGGAGGAGGAGGAGGAGGAGGAGGAGGAGGAGGGAGGAGGAGAGGAGGAGGAGGAGGAGGAGGAGGAGGAGGAGGAGGAGGAGGAGGAGGAGGGAGGAGGGAGAGGAGGAGGAGGAGGAGGAGAAGGAGGAGGAGGAGGAGGAGGCCCTCCCTTGATCTGCGTGCGTGTTCTCCCCCCGCTCCCTGCCCCCCTATCCCCGTGCTGTCTTCCGTGGGGGATCGGGAGGGGGGAGGGGGGCGATGGCCTCCGGCACGCCCCGCCGCCGTGCCCTTTCGCTTGCCTCCCCCAATTTCGCTCCCCACTCCCAGAAGCTGGAAGAATGGTGGTCGCCACACCCCCTTGCGCCACCCCTGGGAGCTCGAAGGAGAGGGGCGTTCGTCGCCCCCTTTCTGCTCTCCTGTCCACGAGTGGGCAATCTTCGGGCCACCTCGGCACCTCCGTGGACTCTCTTGGGGCCTCTCAGGTCCATTTTGGAATAATGACGGCTTTACCCCAGATGGGTTGGTTAGCGATCCATGTTTACTCTTGCCTTGCTCTTGCCGCTCAAAAGAGCGGAAACCCATGCCAAGAGACACATTGCTCGCTTCAAGGGTGCCCTGCGTTTCTTGGGTGTCGATGGTGTTGCTATGGAAAGCGTGACGTTCCCACACCAAACATCAGTGAACGCCCTGGGGTCCCAGGGTGGGGTTTCTCGTGGAAGATCTCTTGTGGTGGAGCCCCTACTGTGTCTCCGAGCGGATGGGAGCATGCATCCGTCGCACCAGGCGATGCGCGGAGCACATGCCGCGGTGAGATGTGCAGCCACCCGCGCGAAGCCGCCCGCCAGGCAGGCCAGGTCAACGAGGCCTTCCGGACGGTCCGCCTGCTCTCCCGCGCAGCGCGCGGGCGGGGAACGGAGGCCTGACGATGGCGGGAAGAATCGGAGGTGGATAGACCTCCTACCCTGACACGTCGATTCAGGAATTGGCCGTTTTCGGGTCGCGATAGGGCGTCGCGGCCGTCATTTTTGCGGGTCCAGGTCCGTCGGTTTCGGTCTTAGGCCGTTTTCATTCAGGGGAGGCTTACTAAAAGGAGGTTCGTCCACCGCCGAAAGAAGACAGATCGGGCAGAGGCAATTCTCGGCGAAGTGCACGGGAGGGCAATGAGAAGGAGGAGGCCTTCTCAGAAGCTGGTCGGATTTCTCAGAAGCCCTCGCGCCTTCTGAGAAGCTTTCTGCTTCTTCGGGGAAGGCTCAGAAAATTTCTCAGAAGGCCAAAGGACCTCCGAGCCTTGTGAGAAGGCCTTCTCCTTATCACTTCCCCCCCCCTCGCTCGCCGCCAAGAAGAAGACAGAGCGGGCAGAGCCGATTCGAGATTTTTGAGATCCAGCGGGCTTGGAGGACGTAGCGGGTGACGTAGCCTTTCCAGAGCGTTCCCCGTGACGCTCTGACATCGTCTGGGGGAATGCTCTGGAGCGACGTGTTTTCGCCCAAGCCCAGCGGGAATGGGTAGTCGGCTGACGGTGTTTTGCTCCAGGAGCTTGGTCGAACCTCTTCGAGCCTCCTTCCCCACTCCTCTGAGTCTGGGCCGAGAGAGCATTGTTCATGCAATATTCGGGGGGCCCCAAAGGGTGTGGTGACCACACTGCGTGGTCACCATACGATCAAGGTCACCGCACGATTTTGGGACTCGGGTCGTTCTCCGCGGACTTCTCGGGCGACCAGAGCCTCCAAGGTCCCAAAACCGTGCGGTGACGGACTGCGCGGTGAGGTCGTTGAGGGTCCCGACGTCACCATACGGTCTGTCAACACACGGTTTGAGGGCCCCAGAATTGTTCATGAAAGATCGCCGCGGGCGCAGGCGTGATGTCGAGATGATGCACAGTGATGTCGACGTGCATTTAGAAGGGAGGAGGTATGAAGTATGAAGGTCGATCCCACTTTAGTAGCATGCGGCGTTTGGGGATCGCTCTTCCTTCTACTCAACCTGCTCGGGGGCTGAAAAGTAGCGGCCCCGTTCGTGGCGTTTTGCGCGGCAGGCAACACAATCAAGGACTTGGTCCAAGAAATGAACATCTGTTGGGCTCGATGCGTCGCAGGGTTTTTGCAACACGCGAGACTGACAGAAAAAAGGAATGGGCCGATTCACACCAACCGCTGCACGCGTGGCGGCAGATGTCAGCAGAAGAACCACGAGCGTACCACCCGTGGTAGCAGCAGCAGTACGAACCAGATTGGAGTTGCAGGAGTATGCTTGTAGTGGCAGCAGTCGTAGTTGCAGTGGCCGTCGCAGTAGTAGCTGTAGTAGGGGCGCGGTTGTCGTAGCAGTACAAAGTTTAGCTGTAGTGGCATGTCCAGAGGAGAAGCACGAGGACGAGATGGAAAAGGAGGAGGAGGAGGAGTGCAAGGGGGGATGAGCTGCAGGACAAGAGATAGAAGGATGAGCAGGGGATGACGACAGCAGGGCGAAGAGGACGACGGCAAAGGCTGGATCGCTGGGGGTCTCCCGATGTTTCCGAAGACCTTCAGAGGTTCCCGGATGCCTCTGGAGGCCCCCCGGAAGAACATCATTTGCTTGGCGAGGGAACTCATCAGCTTCATGTAGCGTTGGTGGCGACCCTCTCTGTGCACGATCCGTGTGAGGGATGCGCCATTATGGATGGAGAGACGCATGCCAAATGTGTCCCATACGGGCCGCAGGTGTAGCCTTCTAATGTACGGGGGTACGCATACACACTTTTCCAGTGGGGCCGCAGGTGGGGCTTGTGTGAGGCACGTGCTGGAAAGAGCGGAACTAGTTACTCGCACACATTTTCGCATTGAGGCCGCAGGTGGAGCTCCCTAAAGGGTAGCCGACATCGTGCGAAGTGTGCCGAACTGGGCTGCGCCGCCATGCGGACCCTCCCTCTGGGGCCGTAGATGGAGCTCGCTATGAGGCCACGGCCCTCGTGAGTGGTGCCCGAAGTGGGAGGCGCCGCCATGAGGACCTTGCCACTGAGACCGCAGATGAAGGGGTGCGATATTCGTGAGGGGTGCGCTAATATGGGTGAGGGGTGCGCTGGCGTGCGGATCCCTGCCTCTCGGGCCGTATGTGAATCTCTCTGTGGGGCCGCAGTGCTCGTGAGGGGTGCGTCGGAGTGCGAGCGGAGGAGCCATGTGCCGGCGCCCGCTGAGATCGTAGGTGTGGTTCCAGGGCTGGCCACGATCCTCGTGAGTGGTGTGCCGAAATGGGTGCGGTGGTGCTTACGTCGCCACGCACTGGTACCGCAGTTGCAGCTCCTGACGGGGGCACGACACGCGTGAGGGGTGTGTTGAAATGGGTGCAGTTGTACCAGAAGTCGGAGCCCACTGGGGCCCTAGGTAGGGCTCCCCAAGAACCACGAGACATGTGAGGGTGTGCCGACATAGGGGGGAGGCGGTGGTGCCATACGTCAGCGGCAATTGAGACCATAGGTACGGCTCCCGAAGGGCCACCGAAGTGGGGACGGCAGTGCATACGTCGGCGCCTTTGAGACCGTAGGTGGAGCATCCTACGACGCACGAAGTGTGATAGGGGTGTGAGTGTGCCAGAATGAACGTGCCGACAGCAGAGGAAGGAGGAGGGGGAGGAGTGAGGAGGAAGGAAGAATGAGGAGGGGACGCGCGCGTTGTGGGTTCAAGCCTCAGAAACGAGCAGAAGAGCAGGAAAGGCCCAGGTGAGACATAGACAGCAAAAAAACGCTCAGCCCAATCGACCTTCGAATCCAGGTCCTCGAAGGTCGACTACTGCATACTGGTCTTCGAGCCTCGCCCCCTCGAGTGCCAGCAGGAGAGGGGCCCCGAGGGGCACGGGTGCCGGACGCCGGGCCCTCCAAGGGCGGCGTGCTCGCCTCGAACAGGCTTCCGGCGCCCGTGCCAGAAGGGGGCCCCGCGAGGCCAAGACCGCTGCGAACCCTTCGAGGCCCTTTCCCCTCAGGGCCTTTCTCTTGACGGTGGGAGGAGGAGGAG